GTTAGGTTTCTAACAAAACTGCTCTGTAACAGACTTCAGTTTATATTGGGCTTTATAAGCATACTTTTCCATTAAATAGGGAGTGGTATATAAAATTGTTATTCCTATTGTCATAGGAATTGTCATTCCTATTGCATTGTCTCAAGGCTGATGTTGAAACAGGACTTCTCCCAAAGAAGGAGACAAAGATCTATGTAAGACTCGCAAAGATGCTGGTACTGCTTCCTTCACTGTTCCTTGAAATAATTCCCAATAAAATTGTAGATTTAATTGCCCTTTACATGTACATCCTAACATCAGCATGCATATTCTCCATACTGTTCTCTATACATTCCCTGAGGGGCTGACAGGGAGAATTTGTTTAACTGTCAAAAGCTTCTTTAGTTGATGATTATTTCTTTGACACAGGGGTGATATTGTGAGGAGAAATTAGTTGCTGGTCACTCTTAGGGTCAAGGAATTAATTGCAGGTCACTTTTTTATGGAAACCAGCCAATAGTACACCAAATCTGAAATCTGCTTTAAAAACTGCAAATTGCAAGATGGTAACATTAAAAACTGCCTACCTAACTCAACCAAATTATAGTCATGAAATTACCTAGGATGAAAGCCCTTGATGAGAATTATTTATAAGAGGATAGCAATAATCACTGATATTACTATTGCTTATTAAGGTACACGAAGATCTTGATGAAGAATATTGATGTGGTAAATGGAGCTGGGAAATCAGACAAGATGGGACTATTGAACATTCTGATGCAGTTACAAAAGTGTACAAACCACCCTTACTTGTTTGATGGAGCAGAACCTGGTATGTAGAAGAGTGAGATTCAAAGTGCTTATGGTCTCTGTGTTGACTGATGTGATAAGATTGGAAGGTTGGCAGAGGTGCAAGGGCAGGAACCATTTATATACTGACTTGCAGACTGAGAGGCTTTGTGATGCCAGCTAGTCATCTAAAAGATTTAGTGACTGACTTAAAGCCCAGCTGACTAGTTGACTGATGACAAGCGGTTGGCTTGCTTGGAGATTTACTAACTGACTTACAGACTGACTTAACAACTGACTCTTTTAATGATGATAAATGGTAGTTGACTGACTGACTTAAGTACTGACCAAGTAACTATCAGTCGTATCAAGCACAGGCTGACTGACTGAATGGCAGACTAACTGATTTCTGTGCTGACAGACAGATCAAACCTACTGAATAACTGGTTGACTGATGGACCAACTGTCCAGTTGACTGCCAATGGACTGATTGGTTGTCTAGCTGACTAACAAATTGATCGACAGACTGACTGACTATATAAACAGACTAACTGATTGATAGATTGATCAACCCTTTAGCCCCTAAAAGTGATAGGTATCTAGTTTCTCCCATCAGTATCACTTCTGAATCAAACAATAAGCTAACAAGAATAAAGTAAACAACTTCTCCTTATAAGTACAGCAGGAAATGTAAAGAGATTGATATGGAGAACTTGGATACTGATGTTAGAATGTTAGGGGTCAATTAGTTGACTGATTGATGGATTGATTTTCCTAAAGGTCCCC